CTGGCCCAAACACCTGCAGAAGCAGCTAAGTCTAACACCAAAGACAGAATTAGCCCAAGGGATACCTTGCAATTAGCGCTAAAAATTCTATTCAGCCAGAAAAATCAAAATTTATGATAGATCTAAAATTTCAAAAACAAACATATATTCAGGTGCCCCCTGGCTGGGGAAGCCGAAAGACCACTTGTTTTCTGGATCCGAGCTATCCCTGAGGAGTTAGCCCAAGGCACATCTCGCAATTACTTTGTGCCCGAACTGCCATTCAGCATTGTTTGTAAGTGGACTCCTGGCAATTGCAAGTTATGCCTTTGACTATCTCCTCAGATAAAGTAATGTATCCTGAAAGCAAATGGTTTTCCTTCTTCTGGCAAGGAAGAATATGATTACATGGTTTTTTTCATATTTGATATTTATCTGAAAAATGAAAGTGGGAATTCAGCATTCACTATAATTGGCCCCTTATCAATTGGAGGTTATGACTTGGAGTATCTCCTCAGAGAAAGAGTAAATACAGAAACTAAGTGGTGTTTTGGTCCTCCTTTCCAGGGAGAACATGATTATCCGTCTGTTCTTTAAATTTGATGTTTTTCTGAAAAGGAAATGCAGTGGCTAAATAGGAATTCAGCTTTTGCTATAATAAGCCTCAAAGCAATTGCAAGTTATACCTTGGACTATCTCGCCAGATAAAGAGTGGATTCCAAAACCAAGTGGTTATCTTGTTTCTACTTGCTAGGGTGAAAATGATTATGTGTCTCATTTACAATTTGATGTTTGTCGGAGAAGGGAGGCTTAATGTCTAAATGGGGATTCATAATTCGTTTTAATGGGCCCCAAAACAATTGCAAATTATATCTTGGAGTATCTCCTCAGATACTTCTACTTGCCATGGAGAACATGATTCCATGTCTCTTTTTTCAAGTCTGATGTTTCGGTGGAAATAGAATGTTAGTTTTCACATTGGTATTTTACTATAATTGGCCACATGCTAATTATAAGTTGTCTCCTAAACACTTAATGTGGACACTTAGCGATAGCAAAACAGATTTTTTAATTTTTAAATGGTTACATATTAACTGCTTAATAATCCATTCCAGTATTCTGCTTGTTCATGCCTTTTCTTCAAATAAGGTTTTTTTCGTTATTTGAAGACAAGAATATCACTTACCTTCTCCAATCCTGTGACACCATATCTATTTTCATGAGGAGCTTCAGAAAAGGTATCTCCAAAATCAAATCTGTAGCTCATCTTTACGAGGTGCTTCATAGCATGATTTACTCATTATTTTTGTGGGATGTGTCTATGTCATGTTTATCATACTCTCAGCTTACTGCTGGGGCAGTCTGTCGCTGCTTTTTTTGAGTCATCAAGTTGATAAATTAATCTCTTGGCATTTTTACAGAAAATTAGAACTTTTCTGACAGTAGAAGCAATTAACAGAGGAACAGCTTGCCTTCAGAAGTTGTGGGTGCTCCATCACTGGAAGTTTTTAAAAAGAGAGTGAACAATCTTTTTTTTTTTAATGGTAGACTAGAATACCTCCACAGTCCATCCAACTCTGTTGTTCTGTCAGCACATATTTCTTCAGTCAGAAATCCTTACTAGGTTAACCATATATAATTTATTAGTTTGATAAGGAGAATTTTAGTTTTAAAACTGTTACAAAAGGCCATTGTTAAGTAATTCAAGGGAAAAGGGAAATAGAGTCAGCTTAATGAATTTGCCTTTGTGAAAGCATAAAAAAAGTTCAAAGAGGTGTTTAGAGAATCAAGTAGTAGATCATTAAGTAAAAGTTTAATAATATAACAGTTTTATTAATAATACAGTAGTGAAACTATACATTCAAATTCAACTGTGAGAAAGTTGGGAGAGATGCAAGCACCACTCATGATCTTTTCTTTTCTTTTTGCTGAATGGTTTAAAAAAGATATATAAACAAACAATATATAAACAAACAAGAAAAAGGCAAGAAAAAAGTAATAAAATACATGTCAGGACAAAATATTTACAAATAACATGAAACGTAAAGTTTTACACTACTTCATTAATTATAAATAACTGAATATATTATATTATTTTAAAGCTAAATCACTGTTAAATTGGAAACAAAGCATATCAATGAAGATGAACAAAAGAGAATAAATTAATGAGAGTATAAACAATTCCACCCATATTACTAAAAATCTATTCTGATTTGGATAAAATTGAACTAGAAACCTTAAGCGTAGAGGATCCCAAATTTTTGAGTAATATGAGTCCATACGTTAAATATCTAAGACTGCTTTCTCATTTGAATTAAATTCTGTGTGACATTTATTTTTAAAGCATGGAAGCGTCAAAGTGTATTCCCACAACTTGGTGACATTCTTCCACTTGAGGGGATCAAGAACTTTTCCAGTAAAAAGCATATAATCCCTTGCAGCAGCTGATAGGTTTGCATCTTCTCCTTTAAATAGCAATAGCACTTAGACCAGGAGTGTCAAACTGCCGGCCCATGGGCCAGACGCGTCACGAGGAAACCGTGCCCACCCTATTGCCGGCAACGGGGAAAAAGTTCCGATACGTCGCGAGTTTGACATGTCTGACTTAGACATATACTGCCCCACAGTGCTTTACAGCAGTCTCTGAGCAGTTTACAATGTCAGCATTTTGCCCCAACAATCTGGGTCCTCATTTTATCAACTTTGGAAGAATGGAAGGCTGAGTCAACCTTGTGTCTGCCAGGATCGAACTCCAGGCTGTGGACAGAGTTAGTCTGCAATACTGCATTCTAACTACTATGCCACCAGGGCTCAGTGAAATGTTGAAATGTTCCCGTGTTCAGTTTCTGTCTGCCCAGGTGGGCAAAAAGAGCAAGCACAGGCCGCTAGTCAGAGGGCTAACTGAGAGGGCAAATGGAGCACAACCCATTTGCCAACCGCCCACAATTCTGACTGGAATTTCTGAGTTTGGTTCCACTTTCTGCCCGCAAAATGCTACATCTTTTATACTATCATGGTTTTAATCCAGATCATGATCTAAACACTGAAGTGCTTAAAGGACTTTGGAATTTCCTAATCTGTCCATTTTTAGATTTCTTTAAGTGGATGAGAGGCTGCGGCAAAATGGTTCATTTCTGGAATTTCTGTAGGAAGCCATTAAGCAATTGCAGATCCTGCTAGATGGATTTGCTGTCTTTTACCTCAGCTGAAGCTTTGGGGGGGGGAAACGGCTACTTCTATTTTCTTACAAGCTAGTTAGAAAATTGACAGATTCACTCCATTTTGTCAATGTCCTGACTGCATTTTGAGTTTTCACTGTAGAAGACAGTAAATCGTTCACGGCTCTCCTTGTTGAAGTGAATAACTAATGTTATTTCTTATCTTTGAAGTGAATTTAAGATGTGGGAGGACATGCCATTTCCAATTTTTTTCCTGTTAAAGTGACTATCGAGGTTTGCTTGCATTCTCTTGTGCTGGAAAGTCTCCTTTTGGGTAAAATCTGTTCGGATGTCCCCTTGCTATGGATCATTATCTGTCTTTCACTTTGAAAGTTCAGTGTAAACACTTCTGATTGTGATATTTCTATTTCATTGAATGGCTAAAGCTTGGCCATTTCTTGTGCTTCAATAGGATCAGTTGGTGACATTGTCCTCTATTTTTTCCTCGGAATTAGTATGTGAGGAAAAACATGTATTGCACTACTTTCTTTTACATATTTGCTATTTTAATAATGCCTTTTAAAGTTTATAAGAGATTTATGTGAAAAATTGATTTTGTGACTTCTCCACGTGAAGTAAAGCATTTTTATGTTAGGTTTTATTTTTCAACCGTATGATATTAATTATTCAGGCCTAGTTGAGGCCTGATTCAGGCCTAGTATGAAAACATGTAATCATTTTTCCTCTATCATACGTAGTAGCAGCTATTGCTAATATTTGAATCATTTGTTTTTTTAAAATCAATTAGAAACAATGTAAAAAAAACCTTGACTTTTCTATTAGGCTGATAAAGAATTTTGTCACTTTTTATGTTTTATGGTTTTAAGCGATAAAATTGATGCTGTCTGATGCACTTAATAACTATTGCAATCAATCACTCTATCAAAGACATGAGTGGCATATAAATTTAATAAATAAATAAAAATAAATGTGTCCTTTTATTGCCTTTTAAGAGAATTAGAGCAATGGACCCCAACCTTTTGGGCACCAGAGACCAGTTCTGTGGAGAGATTTTTCCGCGGACCGGAGGGGCCATGGTTTCGCACGCTGCCTGCATCCCATGGATGGGGCTTCAATTGTTTGTGCGGCCCGGTTTCTGGCATGCCACGACCCGGTGCCGGTCCCTGAATTAGAGGATTGTGTAAAATCTCTAATTTGAGGATTTCCCCTATTGCATTTTGCAGTCATTCCTGATGACTGGCCAGTTCTTGTTTCACTTTACCTTCCATAGGGTAAAGACTTCAAATGAAGATTACCTCAGCGGTGTTTTTTATGTTTGACTGTCTCTCAAGTGGATTCGCATTGCTGCATATTCTCCAAGTTTAAGTTCCCAATCAGATATTGTCAGAATTGTATCTTTCTTTCATATTGGGCACAATTTATTCTTTACTATATCTTATTAAATTATGTTGGCTGCCGGGAGGTGCAGCTAATTGTCCTATACTGCGAATTAGCTGAAAACAAATGTCCCTGGGCAAATCACCCAGCAGGAGGGGGCAGGGGAGGAATAAAAAGGGACCAGTGCTAGAGGAGGGAGAGCCAGCAGAGGCCGAACACCTGTACTGGTGGTGGTGGTGGGGACTGGGGTGAAATGGGAGTGGCATTGTAGCCAGTTGCTCCTTGGGCACAAAGCCCAAGTGACACTGGGTCAGTCATGCCCTCTCAAGCAGGCAAGAGCAAACCAATTCCAAAATTTTCCCAAGAAACTGCAGGGACTAGTCCAGGAAGCTGCCAGGAGTCAACAATGATTCACACACACACACACACACACACACACACACACACTATATATATATATATATATTACTCTCTTGTTTCAAAAAGGCTGATTCTTCATACTAGGCCAATAGTGATAATCTCTCATTTTCCAAAGCAATCTAGAATAAAAAGGCAACATATTTGACATGTAATAAAATAAACATCTAAGCCGTATTTCATTTACAGGCGGTTTTTATTCCATCATAACAAGTCAATTTACTCCATATATACACACACATACGTACATACTCACATACACACACACACACACACACCCAAATCCACATGCACACTCACACATGATCACCCATTGTAGGCACTGGCTTCAGTTCCCAGTGGGATTCTGCAGTGGATATAGAGAATTTTAGCCTGGCAGGTAAGGAGGAAGCCCTAGTCGAAACACATTTTATTTCTGGGCTCATATAGGAAAGAAATGGCCTCTGCTAAGTGAAAGACTGCAAAAAAGATAGGGGAAAACATTCTGCAGTCCATTGCTGAAGGACGCGTAGGAGAGGCTATTTTTTTGCCTACTGCAGAAGGTCTTCACTTCACGTCGGTACCTTTTGATGGGAAGTAGCAAACACTAGGTTGGAATGCCCGCGAGGCACTCAGCAATTTTAAAATACTAACCCTAATGAAGCTTACACAGCAATCTGATTATTATCATTTTCTTTCTTTTATTTTAGATGCAGCTTTTCCAGTTTCAAATATTGTCCAGCGACTCTTCTCGTCCTCTCAGAAAACTCAAGTTTACTCTGGCAAAAAACGACAAGCCTAAATCACCGAAGATTTAAGAGTGAAAGAACGGTTCCAAAATAAACTTATGCCAGGAATGCCGACCGTGAAGCAAAAGTACTGATACAGACATTGGACATTTCTTTGCTTGATTCTTACCGTATCTGGCCTCCTTGCTCCATTCTGAAAGGAATCAAAGCAGGCCTCTACTGAAAATGTTAACTTTAAAGCAAGAAGGAGCTGCCAGTCCCTGCAACTAAACTACCTGCGGAGATTGTCAACTTAGGATATTTACTTTGGGATGCTACCCTTCCGCGTAGGGCCTTCTCTAGAGCGATCATAACTTCAACTGGACGTAGCATGTTCAGAATCCATCGTTCCTTTAGTCATCTCCCGTTTTCCTTTAATTTATTTCAGAAATTGCGATGGAGTCGGTAGACTGCTGGGTAGCCAAAAGGGGTACGGGGGAGGTTGCCTCTATGAGAGCTGGGTTCAGAATTATAGGCAGAGACAAAGGTGGCACTCCCACCTGTAAGGTGGAAGATAGTGGCTGAAGAATAAGAGGCTGCTGGGCCACTGCCGGAGGAATATCTGTAGCCAGGTTCATCTTCCCGGGTGCTGCTAGAGAGGCAAAATGTGATCCAAAGTGACTGGAAATGCAGGGATTCTCAGAATCTGCAGAAAAAAGATAACAGACTTCTCATTTTTATATGAGGGACATTAAGTTTCTACCACTTTCCCCAAATTTCACCCAATTTGTTCTGGGCTCTTCTGTGTCCTTAGAATTTGAGTGTTCGTGTCTGCAATGGTGTTTTCTTGTACAATCCCCATGTAAAATTTGTAGACGTTATAGGAGAGGGGTGATAGTCTACAGTGGCGAAAATCAGAAGTCTGTTGGCTCCTTTTCTCACTAATGAGTTTTATGAAAAAGCACAAGCATTTGTGAGCTGCAGCTTACCAATGGCTAGTCTAAAGGAAAAAAAATAAGAGTAACATGATAGCAGTATTCCAGTATCTGAGGGGCTGCCACAAAGAAGATGGGGTCAAATTATTCTCCAAAGCACCAGAGGGCAGGACAAGAAACAATGGTTGGAAACTGACCAAAGAGAGAAGCAACCTGGAATTAAGAAGAAAGTTCCTAACAGTGAGGACAATTAACCAGTGGAACAGCTTGCTTCCAGAAATCGTGGGCGCTCCATCACTGGAGGTTTTTAAGAAGAGACTGGACAGTCACTTGTCTGAGATGGTATAGGTTCTTCTGCTGAGCAGGGGGGGGGGGGCTGGACTAGAATACCTCCAAGGTTCCTTCCAGTTCTATTCTATTCTATTCTATTCTTTCAGATACACAGAGTGGCTGTTTAAGGATTTAAACAGGGGTGAAGTAGGGGGAATATAGGGATGGTCATCAAGTTGTTAAAGTTCTCATAACCTTTCTCACCTGTTGACCTGCATCTTCATAACCAGCTATCTTCCTTGCCTTTGCCTCTTTGCCTTTGCCATTCCATTCCATTCTATTCCATTTCATTCCATTCCAGTATAAATTTAAATCCCATCAGTCTAGCCATTCTTTGCATCTGATGAAGTGGACTTGTTAATGAGCACAAGCAGCTTGTCTATGTTACTTTAACTGTATGATTCTCACATGCTCAGCAAATAGGTTTTGATATATCCATTCTTATATGCTATTCGTAGACCTAGGCCAGGGGTAGGCAACCTTGGCTCTTTTATGACTCGTGGACTTCAATTCCCAGAATTCCTGAGCCAGCATGGCTCAGCTTGGAAACCTCTCCCTTTCCCCTCAGCATGGCTGGCTCAGGAATTCTGGGAGTTGAAGTCCACGAGTCATAAAAGAGCCAAGGTTGCCTACCCCTGACCTAGGCATATCTCTCTTATCCATTTCACATCCCACTTCAAAAACCATTTTATTTGCATCCTTTAATTTAACTCAACCTTGCCTTCCAGGGAAAGGCTACCTCTCTGATGACTTTCCACTATCAGGCGGATATGTTGGCCCAATTTGTTATAGTCCCTGTAAAAAAAAAAAAAAAAAAGAGGGGGGGGGTCTATTCTATTGGGCTGGATTTTAAAGGTTTATCTGTTTTTCATGCTCTGAATTTGAGCTTTGAATTTTGCTTCTTAAAGTACCTTGAAAACACTTACTTAACACTATTTTAAGGAAAAGCTGAGTGCACATTTTACGAAAGGATAAAACGAATGATTCCTCCTTGCCTGCATGTTTCCCTATTATTGAACTACGTGATTATGAGCAATCAGAGACAGAAACTTATTTTTGGTTATTTTCTTTCTTTTTCTTTTTACTCTGTTCTTATATCCATCGTCCATCTTGTAGAAAATATAATCCTACCACTGGCTGCCAGTTCTGGAGTCTTCTCAGAGGATGCTGAATGAGTAGGTGGTCTGGAATCCTCTCCAGAAGAATGTCTCTGAGCAGAGGGTGATGGTTTTGGAGGGTGTACTTCTACTGGTAAGGTAGAAACTGGATCTAAAGAAAAGCAGCAAGCAGCAGTATGATAAACCAGGGCTTTTCAACCTTTTCACCCATTGCACCACTTTTAGGATATGGCAATATCCGAGTACCACCAGTCGCCCAGCAAGGTGTCAAAAACTTGATAAGGAAAAAAGTGATAAAGTACAGGTAGTCCTCGACTTACAACAGTTCGCTTAGTGACTGTTCGAAGTTACAGTGGCACTGAAAAAAGTGCCCCCCAACGCACAGCCGAGCAAGACACCTGCCTGCCCACCTGGCGGCGCTCTTCCTCCTGTCCGAGGTTTTCATTGTTGTGAGCATTTCTGTTGAGGATTGGCAGCGGGGGTGGGGTGGGGGGTGTTTGGTTTTTATTCTCCCCCCCCCCATCTGCTGGGTGGTTGCAGCAGGTTTGGGTCACTTCACATGACCCTGGAACACTGTGACCGTCATAAATATGAATCAGTTGCCAAGCATCTGAATGTAAATCACAAGACCCTGGAGATGCTGCAACATTCCAGCTGATCGGCGCTTCTTCTGGGCTCAGCAGAAGCCCCAGGATCAGCGCCGAGCTCCAGCTGGAGCCTGGCGCTGATCCTGGCGCTTCCGCTGAGCCCTGCAGCTCCAGCCATCTCTCGCTCAGGCTTGTGCGGTGCTGCCACCGGTTCAACTCATTCCCCTCCCCTGCTACTACTTTTCTAGGATGGTCACGTACCACCTGCCAGATGCCAATGTACCACAGGTGGTACCCGTACCACTGGTTGAAAAGCCCTGTGATAAACGACCCTCAAATAAGGCTGCATTCCGACTATGGCTGCTTATGTATCTGCACAACGTAACATTATGTCTCTGCATCACAAACCATTAAACACGTGCAAAACACCCTAATGCACAAAAACCCAAGCTATAGCTACAGGGACCATTCAAAGTTATGAGGGTGCTAGACAAGTGGTATGTTGACTGGTTCTCAAAAGTTCTGGCTGTCCCAGCATCCCCAATGTCGTCTGATCACAATCTGAACCCTTGGCAACCATTCACAACCATTACAACAGCTGCAGTTTCTTGCAGTCATGTGATCACCATTTGCAACTTTCCCCGCTGACTTCCCACAAGCAAACTCTGTTGGGAAATTATCCGGGAAGGTTGCAAGTTATTTCAGTTAGTCACTTATACCTTCCCCTATCTTGCAGCAGCAAATCCCTGCGTTAGCCCTGCCTCAACTTATACCTTTACGTAAGAACAATCCTTGACTCCATTGGTTGAGAACGGTATAGTTTACTAGAGGTCAAGTGGATTATAGTACAGCAGAGCCAGAAGTGAGGTTCGCGTGCCAAATTCCTAGGTATAACTTCTTCCTCCCAAACACTTCCCCTTGTTGGTCCAATCAGTTTAAAAGAGATGTTTTTGAAGCAGTCCCTCTTGCAGTTGCATTCCTCTCCCATGGAAGCGATCTTCCGGACTCGTCTCTTGAGAGGCATGCTTCTTTCCATCAGTTTCACTTTCCCCCCAAACATTCACTTCTCTTCCACCCTCCCTCCAGGCCAGGGGTAGGCCACCTTGGCTCTTTTATGACTCGTGGACTTCAACTCCCAGAATTCCTGAGCCAGCATGGCTCAGCTTGGAAACCTCTCCTTTTCCCCTCAGCGTGGCTGGCTCAGGAATTCTGGGAGTTGAAGTCCACGAGTCATAAAAGAGCCAAGGTTGCCTACCCCTGCCCCAGGGTCTATGGCAGACAGGCACTGAACGATCGCAAAGTGCAGGCAACTTGGCTCTGCTGCACTCACACTGCACCTTGTGGGCGCTCACATACCCTCTCCTGCCCAGAGCAGCAACCTTTGGCCCCACAGTGCTCGTGCAGTGCTTTGCTTGGGGTTCACTTAATGACTTACGATCCTCACTTAATGACACCAACCAAGAGTGCCAGGTTTGCCATCAGTAAATGATGTAGTCACAAGATGCCATGCTTTATGACAGCATTGCTTAGATGTGGAAATTCTGGTCCCAATTAAATGTTGTTAACTAACGGCTACCTGTACATAGTGTGTGTTCAATATCCTTTACAGGAGTAAATTTTAGCTAACGTAATACAGCTTTTTAACTATAAGCAGGGCTTTNGGTCCTAGGGTTTGATGAGGGCGTGGCCAGGTTTGAGTTCCGCCACCTTTTCTCCGAGAAAAAAAGCCCTGACTATAAGGTTATTTACATTTCATAATTTACTACGTCTTAGATAAAATTAAGAAAATTTACGATTTTTTTTTTAGTAAGAAATCAGGAATCTGATTGTTCAACTGGATGCAAATTTATTCCATGCTACCTCTAAACAAGAATCTGAACTACTGACGGTTAAGGCAAATTGGGCGTACATAAGAGTCAATGGACTTCAAGGAGGGCTGGACTTAAATATTTTGTGGGTGCAGACTCCAAATTGATGACGTACTTCCTCCAGCTCAGCCTGGTCATCTCCTACAGTACGTTTTTTATTAGTATTTTAAAATATTTTATAGATTGGGGTTATTTGTTTAAATTTGGAGGAGGTGGTTGTATTGTTATAATCTTTGCACTAAAAGAAAGTTGGAGGTCATTTTTATTATATCCAGTGGTGGGATTCAGCCGGTTTGCACCGGTTCAGTAGAACTGGTAGCTAAATTTTGTTGAGTTCAGAGAACCAGCTGAACCCATGATGCTTCTGGAAGTCCTTCTAGGCCTCAGAGGCCTGGAGGAGGTCTCCCTGGCCTAGAACAGCCCACCGGAAGTGCATGGATGTCACTTCCGGAAGTCCGTTCTAGACCTGGTGGAGGTCTCCCAGGCCTAGAACAGCCCGTCGGAAGTGTGTTGATGTCATTTCTGGAAGTCCGTTCTAGGCCTCGGAGGAGGCCTCCCAGATCTAGAACAGCCCACAGGAAATGCATGGATGTCACTTCCAGAAGTCCATTCTAGGCCTCGGAGGCCCAGGCCTGCATCCACGCAGAGAACCGGATGTTCAGGTATTTGAATCCTATCACTGATTATATCTGATATATAATTTTGGGTCATTTTTGTTTTGTTAGTCCCTTTTCCTTTTATGTTAGTATTTTAATGTTTGATGTTGAAATTTGATAAAGATGAAATATATAGATATATAAAAGCAAATTAAATTTGGGAAGGTGATAAAAAGGAAATTGTTATTCCCGGCCTTGGCTTGTGACTTTCCAAAATTCAAATAGTAGCCTCTTTCAAAGGGATCTTGGTCTAGAAAGGACCCTTTAACTCAAAGGCCCAAGGGCTCTATATGGGCTTCTGCATGCATACCTTGGATGACTGTCTGTTTGAAGAGCTCATCTCGTAGTTTTGGCAAAAAGCAGTCTATGCGCTCCCAGGTGATTTCCCATAGATCTGAGTAGCCTGTTCGTGAATCAGCATTATGGAATATCCCAGCTGTGTCCATTACTAGCAGCATATTCTTCAGTGATTCAGGGATGGCTTCTAGCTGGAAGGCAAAACATATTTATGGGTCTGCAGCTTCCTGAAAACTTAAGGATGGCCCCAGAGACTCCTGCAAAATTGCCACTGAATCTTGAGGCAAGAAACGAATGTTATTACTTGGAATTGAATTTTAGAACCACAGAATACTTGGCATCTTTCTACAGCTAACCCTACAACTTTGCTTGAGTTGCCAAGAAATGGGACAGAGCTACATCAGTACCTGACAAGAGTACAATATTAGTTTGTCTGTTTTTCATGAAACCTCATTTACATCCAAAGTTAGACGGTTTTAACAATTTGTCCTTATGCTATTTTATGATAAATGTACTGACAATAAGTTTTAGTTATGTCTGCTGTCCTGAATTTTGGTTTGGCACTTAAGACTATCTGCTCCTGCCAGCAGCAGCACTCTCCATTACCCCTCTCATACTGCCTGCCATGTTTGAAATCTTAATACAATGTTAAAATCCTCTTTTTGTTCTCTTTTACCCTAGATATAGCCTCACTGCTGTATAAACCAAACTGCTTCTTTACCGTGATTCCTGGGATGACACATGGGACAAAATATTTTTGATTCCTGAGATTATCATCCAATAGGCAGTGAATGAAAAGGTATAATAGAGATCTCAAGAGAAAACCATCCTTTTCTTTGATCATTTTGAGATTCTGTTTCAACTGGATGGAACAGGAGGAAAGTGATCTATCACAATCTCCTTATCTTGCTTGTTTCTTTGCTTATTTTGAAACAAAACAAAAAGTTAATTTCCCTTCTTTGAAGCTGAAAATACTCCAGGCCACACTCCACATTTCTCCTCTTTATTTTTTTCCAAGCAGAGTGCATTTCTGCAATGGATATTGCTCTCATAGCTGCTTATAAAGGAGTGAGAATTTTGTTACCTAGCTGAGAATAACAGAAAGTACTGTAAATGTGTAATTCTGTGCATTTATAGCATGGAGAAAGGAGAGAAGAGAACTGGGACAGAATGAATTAAACCATTTGTTAATTAAAAGTGCATTTATTATTAATCCTGACTCCCGAATTTTTATGAATGGGTTCCCAGACATAAATGTGATACTTAATCTGATTAAGGCTGCACGGCCTTGTTATATGTTTCTTCCTGACTGCCAACTTTGGTCTTCACATGCCATTGAGAAATTGGAGAAGTAAAAAATCGGATCTTGCAAAGAGAGCTACTAGCAATTAAGGATAGCAAGGACTTACTTACCAACAAGTCACTGGAGCCAGCGTGCATGTATTTGTCCATAAAATCCAATATTGTCAGCCATAAAGCAGCAAATGTCGGGAGAGAGAGGAGTGGGGACAAATGTTGCAAGAAGACCTAAACAGAATTTATTTTAAGGATTCAGCAGGAATGGAAAAAGTCTTGTCCATGGTGATTTTCATGTGATATTAACAATTATTATTTTTTTACCAATATCGGTTTGACCAAGTGGCACACTGTTCTTTATTCTTAATAAAAAAAAAACAAAAAAACTGAGTGAAATTAGTAGTGCCAATTAAGAACGTGGCACAAAATTTTCAGGGTAAATGTATGAGGAATCAAATTAAGACTCCCCCAAATTAGCCTTTCATTTTAAATTCTGGAGTAAAATTTTTACAGCTTCACATAAAAACATACCTAGTCCTTTAAAGCTGAAAAAAGTTCCTCCGTGAATTTTATAGAGACAATAGAAACAATTAAATGTGTATATTTAAATGACAAGTTTGTAGCAAAAAATGCTGAATCTTTTTTAAAAACTTGCATTGCTTCCCAAAGGAAGCTGTGAGGCAGTTTTCCAGTCCCGTAAGTGCTCTGATAAAAGTAAACAAATTTGCTTTAGTTCAGACATGTCAAACTCGCGATGTCACGTGACGTCGCGCAACGTATCGGGACGGTTTTGCCATTGCCGGCAATGGGGAGGGCGCGGCTTCCACATGACGTGTCCGGTCCGCGGACCGACAGTTTGACACCCCTGCTTTTAGTTCTTCAGTGACAGAATCTGTTGGGCAGTCTCCATTGGAAGTGGGTTAAATTCTGGAAACTGCATCCGGTTTTCATTTCCTTCTGCTTAATCACGGGAATCATTACAATTCAATCAGAAATCACCCTCTGAAAAGAGAAATAGCCTTTTATACCTTGGAGAGTAGAGTTGAAGCTCTCATTCTAGTCTCCTCCATTCCTCCAATATCTGCTGGGCTAATATTTTGCAGAAGTTTGGTCAACAAAGGAAACAGAACCTATTGATCCAAGATATGGAATTTGCAAATAGTTAAGAAAGAAAACTCTTAATACTGTAGGCAGGCTGCAAGCAAATCAGAAATTAAGTCCTGGCAGACTGGAGGAGGAAGCAGGTTGATTCATCGATAGATAAATGGCATTAATAAAATAAATTTCCACCCACAGGCCAAAAATAGGCACTGGTTCCTATTAGTTTCCACTTCAGGCTTGTTTGTTTGTCTTATTTTGCTTTGTACAGCCCACAATTCAGTGAATTTATGATCAGAATTATGATCAGAGTTTCATCGTGCTAGTGAGTTATTTCATAAGAATATAGTTATTTACTTCAGTTTATGTGGCCACAACTCTCTAGGGCTACTTTTTCTTTCAATGAAAGAAGATGTTGAATCATGCTCTCCCTCGCAATGGAAGTCAGGAAAATGCCTTGAGTTCCATGATTCTCTTTGAGATTCAAAGATATAAGTTGCAATTCCTATGAAGCCTTATACGGAATGCAGAATTCCATCTTTGGAACTAATGTGCCCAGCTCGGTCAAAACATCAGATTTGAAAAAGAGATATTGAATTGTATTTTCTCTAGCAAGGAGAATCAGGAAACCCACCTGAGTTCACGAGTCTCTCTCTTTGGCTTATCTTCCAATTTTAGCTATAATTCAGAATGTAAGAAAGGGGACTTCCTGACTGCAGAAATTTGGATAGTCTTCCATTTTTTGATAGTCCAACTGCCTTTGAACTGTATCCACAGCAGCAGCAAAGCCGTCTTATTCTAGCTGTAACGTCAAACTGCTTCCTGAATTTGCTTCCTATCTTCTCTCGTTTATTACCAACGTTGTTTTCCTTTACTACAAAATGTTTCTAAGCTGCTCCAGGAGCTTTTTTTTTGCCTAAAAACTTTTAAGTATTGTTCACTACATCATAGCAAAAGCATTATATAACGCAAAAAATCTCTTTCATAGTCAATTTTATAGGCATAGCCGACAGGGTCTCTACAACAACCTGCCACAGCCAACTTACACCGGCCAACTCACCACTAGACAATTCGCCAGGGCCAACTTGCTGCGAACAACTCAAAAATTACAATAATATGGAAGAAATAGTCAAATAGAATCATTAAGAGAGAATGCCAAAGGAGGGACGAAATAAAACGTGAAGGACAAAAATTAAAATAAATTTTAAAATTATTTTAAATAATTAAATTGAATTGTTGATTTGTCCCGTGGCGAGTTGGCCAGGGCGAGTTGTCCCGCAGCGAATTGTCCCATTCCGTAGCCAAGAGAGCCAGTTTGGTCTACTGCAGGGATAGGCAACCGTGGCTCTTTTATGACTCGTGGACTTCAACTCCCAGAATTCCTGAGCCAGCATGGCTCAGCTTGGAAACCTCTCCCTTTCCCCTCAGCGTGGCTGGCTCAGGAATTCTGGGAGTTGAAGTCCACGAGTCATAAAAGAGCCAAGGTTGTCTACCCCTGGTCTACTGGTTAAGGCACTAGGCTTGTAACCAGGAAATGATCAATTTTAAGCCCATCTTAGCCATGAAAGCCAACTCGGTGACCTTCGGCCTGTCACTCTCTCTCAGCCCAACCCAACTCAGAGGGTTGTTACTCTGGAGAAAATAGGAGGATGAAGATGTACAGGTGGTTTTTGACTTACAACCTTGTTTAGTGGCTGTTCAAAGTTACAACAGCACTGAAAAGAATGACTTGTGGCCATTTTTCACATTTACGTCTGCTGCAGCACACCATAGTCACATGGTCAAAATTTGGACGCCTGGCAACTGGCGTGTATTTATGACGGTTGCAGTGCCCCAGGGTCACGTAGTCACCCTTTGCAACCTTCTGACAAGCAAAATCAATGGAGAAGCCAGATTCATCTAACAGTTGTGCTACTAACTGAACAACTATGGCAAGAAAGGTTGTTAAAATGGGGCAAAACTTACTTAATAACTATCTTGGCTTAGTACTGGAAATCTCAGGCTCAACTGTGATCATAATTTAAGTTCTACCTGTTATTAGGTATGTTCACCTTGAATTATAAAAGTAATACAGGGTTTATTTGTATTCCACCTTTATTATTTTTATAAATCAACTAGCTATAACCGGCCACGCGTTGCTGTGGCTCAGTCTGGGAAAAGCGTGTGTTGCTTTTACATCCAACAGATGGTGCTGTTTTTCAAAAAAAGCATGTTTTACCTGTCACAGGTGTGACATCTATATAATATAGGTGTATAAAAACACGTGCGTATTCGAATGCAACGTTGTGTCAAAATTTCAAAGCAATCGGTGAAGAACTTTCAGAGATTTAAGATTTTGAACAAACGAACATTTACATTTTTATTTATTTATTTATAATAGATAGATAATAGATAAGTAAAAATTTGAATTTAAACTTGCTGAAATGTTAAGATGAAGTTTCACCCAAAACTCATATTTACAATATGTAACACTAGTGTGCAATACTGTCTGATACTAGTAAATAGGAAATTTCCCTTTTGGCATGGTTACTTGAAATGTCAAAGTGACAGTAGAATTTCCTCTCTCCAATTTATCTAGCAGCAATTAAACTGAGATCCTCCTTATATCCCACACCAAACTGAGTTATTGTTCAATTATTTACCTGAAGGATTTCTATCCAAATATTCCACAGTATCTCATGCCTAAAGTACTAAGTTATCCTTAATAGTACAAATAAACAGCATAAAACTGCATAAATTCCACATATATAGCAAACTCTCTCAAACAGGGCCTGATCATAAAAAATACTTTCTAATTTTTGGTTGTTTTTTTTAACTTAATTGTTGCCTTTCACCTAAATTTCTGAGACCCTGTGATCAGAGTGAGTCCAATCCTTATTATCTTTGAAAAGCTGAATCATTCCCTCACACAGCATTCCTTGCAATTACCTTATTGAAACAGGATTCCCACTCCAAAGCATCAAGAGCTTGTAAATCATGCACGAGAAGAGCCCGCTGCAGGTAGGTCAGTGCTTGCATCCGCACTTGCCGTCTTGCGTCATAACACAAGCATGCAATGCCTGTACAGAAGACAAAAGTGGTGTGAAAAAGAATTATTTATTTACCCTTGGTTAATAAACTTATATCCAACTTATATCCAACATGGCAGTCTTGAGTTTCATGCCACAGGTTTCAGTAACAGCAACTATATGATACCTACTCTCGTGTACTAATACTTCAAGTTCACCTTGTTTGTTCCCTAAACTTTGAGAGTTAGCGTATAGGCATTTGAGTCCTTTATGGCTGATCCTGAGTATGCTTCTCCTACTTTGTATTTGGTTTTTTCTTCTTTCTCCTCACTCTCTACCTCATTATTTGATTGGTTGTCTTGAGTTTGTGGCTGGAATAAAGTCCCAAAGATCCAAGATATTGGTTACCCTCCCCCGTCAACTTTATTTTAAAGCCCTTCTGATAAGTTGAGCCAGTCATTTTCCAGATACATTCTCCCAAGTTCTTGTGAGGTGCAGCCTATCTCAAACATGGTCACCACAATGTAAAAAAGATGCTGAGACTCTAGAAAGAGTACAGAGAAGAGCAACGAAGATGATTAGGGGACTGGAGGCTAAAACATACGAGGAACAGTTGCTGGAATTGGGTATGTCTAGTTTAATGAAGAGAAGGACGAGGGGGGACATGATAGCAGTGTTCCAATATCCCAGGGGCTGCCACAAAGAAGAGGGAGTCAAGCTATTCTCCAAAGCGCCTGAAGGCAGGACGAGAAGCTATGGATGGAAAGTAATCAAGGAGAGAAGCAACCTAGAACTAAGGAGAAACTTCCTGACAGTTAGAACAATTAACCAATGGAACAACCTGCCTCCAGAAGCGGTGAATGCTCCAACACTGGAAGTTTTTAAGAAAAGACTGGACAGCCATTTGTCTGAAATGGTGTAGGGTTTCCTGTCTGAGCAAGGGGTTGGACTCGATGACCTCCAAGGTCCCTTCCAACTTTATTATTGTTGTTGTTGTTATTGTTGTTATTATTATTATTATTATTAAGATACTTTACAACTTAGTTCTGAAGTTCGGATGGACACCTCTCCCCATGGTCATGTGACAGTATTCCAGACACTTGGCAACAGCCCCAGATTTACTTCTGGTTTTAGCAAAAATGCCCGATAGAGAACAACAGGTTTTTTTAAATGACCATGGCAGTTGCTTAACAACTGTGGTGATTTTCTTAATGGCTACTGGAAAAAAGGATGTAAAATTGGATTGATCATGTGATGGTCTGTTTTATGACCATCATGACTTAAAACTCTAATGGACAAGCTTCATTACAATTGTAAGTCTAGGACAGGGGTAGGCCACCTTGGCTCTTTTATTACTCGTGGACTTCAACTCCCAGAATTCCTAAGGCAGCATGGCTCAGCTTGGAAACCTCTCTCTTTCCCCTCAGCATAGCTGGCTCAGGAATTCTGGGAGTTGAAGTCCACGAGTCAGAAAAGAGCCAAGGTTGCCTACCCCTGGTGTAGAACAATTAAATAGTGGAATAGCTCGACTTCAGAAGCTGTGGGAGCTTCATCACTCGAGGCTTTTAAGAAGAGACTGTGGACGGTCACTTGCCTGAAATGGTATAGGCGGGTCTCCTGCTTGAACAGGAGATTGGACTAGAACAGGGGTAGGCAACCTTGGCTCTTTTATGACTCGTGGACTTCAACTCCCAGAATTCCTGAGCCAGCATGGCTCAGCTTGGAAATCTCTCCCTTTCCCCTCAGCATGGCTGGCTCAGGAATTCTGGGAGTTGAAGTCCACAAGTCATAAAAGAGCCAAGGTGGCCTACCCCTGGTCTAGGACTACTTGTAATATTCTAGGTTGTGCTAGCTTTACCTTGCAACAGTGGGCACCAACAATTGATCCATAAGGCTCGAGAATTTGCTTCTATTTTCTTCTCCGAAATTTTCAGATGGTGCTGCTCTTCTGCCCAAGAATTGTAGATGGTAGCAGCTCGTGTATGAAGGGTGTGCATTAGATCCAATAGCTGTAAAAGAAGTAAGGTAAAAAGTTTAGCTTTTTTACCTCTTTTATAAAATAAATAAATAAAAAACTTCACTACAGGTAGTTCTTGACTTACAACCTTTTGTTTAGTGAGCGTTCAAAGTTACAACAGCACTGGAAAAAAGTGACTTATGACCATTTTTCATACTTAGGACTGTTGCAGCATCCCCAGGGTCACACAATCACAATTCAGACACTTGGCAACCGGCTCATATTTATGATAGTTACAGTATCCCGGGGTCATGTGATCCTCTTTTGCGACCTTCTCACAGGCATATCAATCGGGAAGCCAGATTTATTTAACAACCATGTTACTAACTTAGTAATTGCAGTGATTCGTTTAACAACTTTGGTAACAAAAGTTGTAAAATGGGGCAAAACTCACTTAGCAGTGGAAATCTGGGGTTCAATTGTGGTTGTAAGTCGAGGACTATCTGTATATTTAGAATGAAGTTTTCTCTTCCTATTCATTTTATATGAAAATAAAATACACTCTCCCCAAAAAGAAAAAGTTATGAAGTCTCAGCAGACACAATAAAATAAAGATCCAGGGTGTCTGCAGAATGAATGCCAAATGCATTTTTTAAAAAGCAAAAATACCAAACTATGTATTTAAAGTATTTTCAGATTGCATTGCATTTCAAAGTTCCTCCTGCATAGTTTTTATTAAGAATACTTTTCTGGGATGTTTCATAAATGGACACCTGACATTCAAACTATCATTAAAAAGGCACAACAAAGAATGTTCTTCCTGCATCAAGCCAGAAAGTTCAGACTGCCTCAGGAGCTGTTGTTATAATAATTCTGCAGAAGAAGAATTATTGAGTTTGTCATTTGTACTTCTATAACTGTCTGGTTTGGTACAGCAACCAAACAGGACAGGAACAGGCTTCAATGGATAGAAAGGACTGCAGAAAAAACAACTGCAACCAGCCTGCCTTCTACAGAGGACCTGTATATTGCACGGGTTAGAACAGTGATGGCGAATCTTTTAGAGACCGAGTGCCCCAAAACCGCCTCGCCCCTCCTGCCCGCAGGGCCACCCACCACCTCCACGCCCGCCACAGCAGATCGCCCAGGCGGCCCAGCAGTGTCATGGCGGCCATGCCCTCTGTCCGTGCCCCGTAGCATCATTTGTACGCGATGGGGCGTGAGGGCGGAGTCTTGTCCCTGCTGCCCGGCTGCCATGTCCTTGGCTAGCTGCTCTGTGCAGGCTGCGCCCGGGGTGACTCTCCTCCGGGGGGGGCTGCTGGTGAGGAGGGGGCCACAGGGGTGGCGGAGCTGGGGCGGCAGCATGCGTGCCCACAGAGAGGGCTCCGAATGCCGCCTCTGGCACCCGTGCCATAGGTTTGCCACCACTGGGTTAGAAGGAGGGCTGAGAAAATATCTACTGACCCCTCACATCCTAGACCAGGGGTCACCAACTCCCGGACTGTGGCCCACTACCAGGCTACAGCCTGTTTCAAACCAAGCCGCATGAGCAATTGGCAAGCGCACGCGCGCACACACAAAACTCCACTTGCACTGTAAAAGAAAGAATTGCAAAGTGAAGTGCAATTGGTATGTAGTATGCATATAAACTTAAAATTAAATTACGGGCCAAGTCAAAGAAATTGCTAAATTTATTGCTAAAAACTGTGAATCATGAATATTTGTTTCTCACCTTGAGAAGGAGCATAGTGTATATAATTGTAAGAAAGTGACAATGATTGAATTTAAATAGCTTCACTGTATTATCTACAATAAGGTAAGAGGTTAGCAATTCTTTCACTTTGATAACAAACTTCTTTAACTTACATCTTTTGTAAGTTCACAGATTTGATTGGAAAGAAAAAAGATTTTTCTCTTCTTTTTTTTTAAAGAATTCCCTTTAAATGGAAAGGGATAGGGCAAGATTGGCAATTAGTTTTGTGACGTCTATGTAAATTTCACATTGTGTAAAAAGGACTATCTGTCATTATCTGAGAAAGCAAAGTAAAAAGTTAAAATTAAAACTAAAAAAAAAGTTTATAGGGAAAGCCCATGTAAGTATTACACACATATGACAGAGCATTACTCGGATTAATCAGCTTAAATAGAAACAGAAGCATAAACTGCACATTTTGGCTCTTAGTTTTGTTTGAATAATTTTCATAGTTGAGTGCCATTATTTTAATTGTTTTTTTAATTGCATTTTGAACAATTGTATGCTGTCCAGAGTCTATATGCACCGGGGAACATATAGACCAGTGGTGGCGAACCTATGGCACGGGTGCCAGAGGCGGCACTCAGAGCCCTCTCTGTGGGCACGCGCGCCGTCGTCCCAGTCCTAGGCCTTCAGCTGGGTTTTATAAAACCTTTTCGCTTTAGGCTTCCGCCGTCGTGTACAAAAAAAAGGTTCAATGAATCAGTCAATTTCAACTTCTCATGGGAAAAAAAAGATCTTGCAAAGTTCGAATTGATTGATTGAACTTTTTAGTCCCATCCAGTCTGCTGTTACCACCGCAGCCACGCCCACCCAATGGGCCACACCCACCCAATGGCCACACCCACACAGCACCCGACGATGCATAAGTGGGTTTTGGGTTGCAGTTTGGGCACTCAGTCTCTAAAAGGTTCGCCATCACTGATATAGACAAATGAACAAAAAAAATACACGTCACATAGTGGACAATAAACTACAAATGATTCAAATAGAATGTTAATTTCCTCCAGTCTTTGGACAGCGGATTGATCAGTTGGTGGATTCATCTCATCCCATCAGCAATGGACCCATCCTCCCACAGTTCTATAGATGACCTAAAATACAGAAGCCTAACATATCTTTCCATCCAATTGTATTGTTACCAGGGAACCCAACGTTCAAAACAGTTAAAGAACTAACAAGAAAGTTTGAATATCTTACAGAGGGGAGACAATATTCTATCAACTCCCCACTACAGTGCCTCCATAAAATAAAAGATGAGATCATGGTTTCATTTGATGTCATGGCACTCTTTATATCCACCAACCCAAAACTACCAAAAGAATCCATGGCAGCACACTACTATATAACATACCTGACCTAACCAAATACACTTAAGATCATGGACCTCATCAACCTCTGCCTTACCACAAATTAAAGGAATACACATGTGAACACAGTACATACCGTAGCAGAGACTGTAACATCTAGAAACTATAGTATACAATCAAAGGCATGGTTCTGGTATGTACAGTACACGACGCCTTTGTCATAATAAAAAAGGAGTAACATAAAACAATCAACAACATTTTCAAAAGAATAAAATTCACAAGGGAAGACAAAAACAACACACTCCTTTCTTGGATATCCTCATCAGCACAGAGGAAATGGTGGCAAAATAGAAACACAAGTGTATCATAAAACCACCCACAAGAACCTTATCAGGATAACAACCCAACCTCCCACAATGGAAGCTGTGTAAGAACATTATTTAGACTAGCACAAACAAATTTTAGCAAACCTGAACAGCCAGAAAATGGAAGCAGATTGCCTAGACCAGTGGTTCTCAACCTTTTTAATGCCGCGACCCCAACCGGTCGTAAGTCGAGGACTAAACCGGTCGTAAGTCGAGGACTAAACCGGTTGTAAGTCGAGGACTACCCAACTGGTCGTAAGTCGAGGACTTTCCCTGCCCGGGAGTGCCGCGCATGCGTGGTTCCGCCCCCTGCGCTGGCCGAGGCGTAGCTGGCAAGCGGCAGAGACGGAGCAGGCCGACCACCAGCTGGCCCAGCTCAAGGGAGGTAAGGCACCCGCCAGAAAAGGGGGAAAAAAATGGCGAACAGCCTTGCTTGGCGACCCCCGTGAAATGGTCGATCGACCCCAAATGGGGTCGCGACCCATAGGTTGAGAACCGCTAGCCTAGACATCTTCCAACCAAATGAATACCCATGCAACTGTATCAAAAGATTGTGACCACACAAGTCAATACAGCACAATCAACACAAGCTATCAAAAACACAGCACTGCTATACATCAAAAACATAACACTGCTATTACATTAAAAATCTCAGAAGCAACTAACATACTGTTACAACAATACGGCATTATTATAGCACACAAACCAACTACAGTCTTCCAAAACATCTTAAGTAAACCAAAAGAGCCAATAGCCCAAGGAATAAAAAAAGGAATCATCTTCTACAACATATAGTATAAAGACTGTAACAACTACTCTGTAGTACAGACAGGCAGAAGACTAGCAGAACAACAACTGTCAAAAGACATGATGAAAACTCCTTAATTTTACAACACGTGAACAGACTTTCACCATAGTTTCAACTGGGAAAATGTGAGGATCTGACACTAAGCCATGTCCAAAAATGCTAGGAAATTCATGGAAGCTTGGCACTCAAGACAATTCAGACTTCAACAGGCACATCAACATCTACACACTATTCAAAAGAGAGAGGGAAATTGATAAAAAGGAAACAAAAAGATCAGAACACCTCCTTGCCAGCAATCAATGCCCAAATAAATAGGAATTAACACCAGGATTAACATCAGATCAACAATCAAACAGTAAATAATATCCCAATCAAGGAACTACCAACTCAGACAAACAATCAAACAGTAAACAACAGCCTAATAAAAGAACTACGAAGAAAAAAAACCCAACATTCGACTTAGTTAGATAATGAACACTAAAACTTCAAGCTCATAACAAGTTTTGAATCTTGTTTCTTTAACATATTTCTTGTTAAACATCTTCAAAAATCCGCTAAAGTACATAGTTTATTATCTATTCTGAATTACCACTCACATAAAATCCACCCAAACTTTGGGATTATGCTTAGTTTGCAGAGTTCAAGGATGGAAGACTGAGCTCCCTTCTCTTAATAAGCCAATCCAAACTGCTCCTCAGAGCTTGTTTGGCATAGTGCCGTGGTGGCGAACCTGTGGCACGCGTACCATAGGTGGCACGCAGAGCCCTCTCTGTGGGCACGCGTGCCGTCGCCCCAGTCCTAGGCCTTCAGCTGGGTTTTATAAAACCTTTTCTCTTCAGGCTCCCGCCGCCGTGCGCAAAAAAAAAAAAAAGTTCAATCAATCAATTTCAACTTCTCGCGGGAAAAAAAAGATCTTGCAAAGTTGGAATTGATTGATTGAACCTTTTAGTCCCACCCAGTCTGCCGTTACCACCGCAGCTATGCCCACCCAATGGGCCACGCCCACCCGGCGATACATAAGTGGGTTTTGGGTTACAGTTTGGGCACTCGGTCTCTAAAAGGTTCGCCATCACTGGGCCATAGTGATTAAGGTTCTGGTCTAGAAACCAGGAAACTCTGTGTTCCAGTCCCACCTTGGGCATGAAATACCCGCTCAGCCCAACTCACTTCCCAGAGTGGTTGTTGTTGTGGGGAAAATAGGAAGAGGAAGGAGTATTGTGTATGTTCTCTGCCTTGAGTTACTTATAAAGCAATGAAAGCAGGATGAAAATTTAATAAAAAATATTCATAGTTAAAGGAACGGCCCTATTGACACTCTGATTCAGATCTGTTTCCCTTTCCCCCTTTCATTATGAGATATTTGTGTTTTTTTAAAGTCACACAACAAAAAAATTATGTGAATGAGTATCTAGTTAACTTATAGATATTACACTAGAAAAACCACAGGGGAGAGGAAAAAACCATGGCTATACTTACGTCCTGACTAACCTGTAAAGATACAGTGTGATAGCTGGCAGGGACACTCTCATCCTCATCCTCATCTTCACTGGTGGAACGGTGCTGATGCTGGCTGGAGGTTTTAAAGTGTCTCAGAGAGTTCTCCTTTGCTTTCTTCTTAAACCGTGTTGATTTGGAGTCATATTTATGATTTTTCCCTCTTTTCTCCTGGGATTTACATCCTATAAACACAACATACAACGGTGCTTAAGAGTTTGTGAAACGTTTGAATTTTCAGTATTTCTGCATAAATATGTGCTCTGTTTTTTTTTATCTAAAGCTAGATAAAGATAGTCCAATTAAATAAATGAATAACTTCTGGGGGAAAGTGGTGGACTGTGATTAAGAACAGGGAGCTGAAAAGTAGATCAAGTCCTTTAAGAACACTGTCTTTTGGACAGAAAACAAAGGTAATGGCAACAGCTACAAATGGTCATGCGATGTTTAAAATCAACAAGAAGGATATTGAATTACTTCAATAATTTATCTTCCTTGGATTAAAAATTGTTCACAATGGTAGTTCTACACCTGAAATCAAACACAGGATAACCTTAGGCTACGCAGCAATGGTTAACATGGATAAGATCTGGAAAAGTAGAGATATTAATATAAATACAAAAAGCAGGCTAGTTAGAGCAATAGTCTTCCCTATAATGATGTATGGGTGCAAAAGTTGGGACTCTAAGAAGGGCTGATTGAAGAAGAATTGGTGCTTTTGAACTGTAGTGCTGGTATAAATTATTGTGTATACTAGGGTTCTCCAACCTTGACAACTTTAAGATTTGTGGACTTCAACTCCCAGAATTCCTCAGCCAGCTTAAAGTTGCCAAGGTTGAGGATCCCTGGTGTATACTATGGACAGCCAGAGCAACCAACAGGGATGCTGAACCATATAAAACCAGAAACATTACTAAAAGCCAAAATCACATTTACTTTGCCCATGTCATGTGTGCAAATTCATTGGAGAAGTCAATGATACTAGGAATGATTAATAGACAAAAAAGAAGGGGCAAGCACTTGCTGGCTTGATACCATCAAAGCTGATACAATGATATCCAACAACTGAAAGAAGCTGTGCTTGACAGGGTAGCATGAACAGCACTTGCCTATAAAGTTGCCAAGAGTCAGACATGACTGAACGGTTAAAACTACTACTACTACTAATCAATGTTACTATTTTAGAGTTCTGTTTTGCTGATAGAAATCTGACTTACCTCCATTCAGGCTGGCTTCCACAAAAATACGGATTGTCTTGACGCACAGTTCAAAGTTCTCAGGGGTTACATGAGCTGCATCTCGCACAATAAAAGATAAGGACTCAACACACTTCATGAGAGATTTGGTATTATGAGGACCCAGGTCAGTTCCCACAGTCAGACTATACTGATTCACCAGAGGAGAATTGCCCAGTCTGGAAAGTCCAGCCATGGCTGTATTATCAATGTCATCTTTCCCAACCTGTGAAGCAGAGATTATTCAAAGTTTAAAGGAAAGCATACATTCTAACTGAAGCCAGTGTGCTTTTTAAATATAATTTTATTAACATTGTTATAAAAACAGCAGAAACTAATAGAACTGAATTTAGGGAAACAAAAAGAAAGAGAAAAGAACAAAAAGTGCAGGGAAAAAGAAGAAAAAGAAAAGAATGAATATAATAAAAAAAGGAAAATAAATATTTAAAGAAGTGACTTCCAACTTCATCACAACTGTAACCAATTTAATAACTCTTCACACTCTTTAGGTTACAAACAGATAATTCTTCATCCCATAGTCCAGGGGTAGGCAACCTTGGCTCTTTTATGACTCATGGACTTCAACTCCCAGAATTCCTGAGCCAGCATGGGGGAAGCTTTGGCCCCTTCATGACTCGTGGACTTCAACTCCCAGAATTCCTGAGCCAGCATGGCTCAGCTTGGAAATCTCTCCCTTTCCCCTCAGCATGGCTGGCTCAGGAATTCTGGGAGTTGAAGTCCACGAGTCATAAAAGAGCCAAGGTTGCCTACCCCTGCCATATCCCATCCCTTATCTATAAGCAAATTCATAAAATATCAATTTGTCAATCCTGGCATTAGCAGAAAGTCCAGAAAGGGTTGCCAGAATTTTGTGAAAGTCTTATTTTACCTTTGCTCAAATAACTTCATATTCCTTTTTTTTTTTACTTATAGCAGTCTTAATTTTTAATTCAATGATTGCTGTAGGATTTGATTTCTCTTCAATCTTTATCCCATGACACAGAGGTTTTATCAATCCTCTTTTGTAGATTCCCTTCCACCCCTCAAAAAAAAAAAATTCCAGGTCATTCTCTTGATTTATCATTTATACTTTTCCTTTTAATTTTTAAAACTTCAGCTTTATCTGTCATATCAGATAAAATCTGTTCCACATCTGTCATTCCTCCATTAAAAATATTTTAGATATAGTTTGTCCATACAAGCAGACATCAATAGCAATCGTGTTCTTATTATAACTAATTTCTGGCTGTATTCTGTAAAAGATTTTCTTTAATATTTCTGATGTTATATTTTGTAAGTCCCAGTATTAACTGACATCAAAAATAGGGTTTTATTTTTTTTTCTTCCGCTTGGAACAGTGATGGCGAACCTTTTAGAGACCTAGTACCCAAGAACCACCCCACCCCCACCCTATTTTCCACCCCGCCCGCAGGGCCACCCACCACCTCCACGGCCCGCCGCAGATTGCCCAGGCAGCCCAGCAGTGCCATGGTGGCCACGCCCTCCACCTGTGCCCCGCAGCATCATCTGCGCGCGACGGAGCGCGAGGGCGGAGTCTTGTCCCCGCTGCCCAGCTGCCATATCCTTGGCTGCACTGCTCCGTGCGGGCCACACCAGGGGGTGACTCTCTTGCGGGGGGGCTGCTGGTGAGGAGGGGGCCACAGGGGGAGGCGGGGCTGGGGTGACAGCCCAAGTGCCCACAGGGAGGGCTCTGAGTGCTGCCTCTGGCACGCATGCCATAGGTTCGCCACCACTGGCTTAGAATCTTTAGTCCCCTCTAGTTTCTAAAATCACATCTTTATTGTGACTTGCAATAGCTATAATAACCAAAGTCTCTATCCCCCGAGAAGCTATTTATTTTTCATAATTAATTCTAAAATCTTTTATTAAATGTCAATATTCCAAATTTACCTTAATCACTACTGAGGACTTAGAACAGAGTTTGCTTATGCAGAATTATTTTCAACATGGTAAATGAGGGACAAGATCCTTTTTAATTTTTTCAAACAATAGATGGAGAAAACCCCTAATTATTCATTCATCTCAGATACATATAAAGAGATCAAAACACTCAAAATTACTTACCACTAGCCAGCCGCTGTTCACGACGTCTACATCAGTGACAGAGCGATGCAATTTACCTTGCTTGCTATGATCTGCATATACCTCTGAATCAGAAGTGTAGCCACGATCTAGGCTGGCTTCATTTGGATGATAGATCTCACTGTCTGACTGAGCTCCTTGAACAAACAATTAAACAAAATGGAATGAGGCAAATGTGCAAAAGCTTATTTTTGTTTATGCCATCAGAGACTTGTTAATATGATGGAAATGCGAATACTCCGATGGTGCCTTGGGCTAACATGATTTGACCACACTATGAATGATGACATACAACGTATGTCATCATTCATAGTGTGCCAATCGTAGCAAAAATGTGGGAAGGAAGACTTAGATCAGAGGTGTCAAACTCAATTTCATTGAGGGCCGTACCAGCATTATGGGCGGTGGGTGTGGCTGGGGTGGGTGCAGCCTACTGGGTGGACGTGGCTGGCATGCGCATGGTCTACTGGGTGTGTGTGGCCAGCTCAATGTCACTCATGTCAGGAGCGCCTGTGTGGGCCTGGGCAAGACTGGCGCAGATCCGAGGGTCTCCGGCAGAGGGGGGAATTGGATCGGGGCGAGTGCCGGGGCATGGTCCACTGGAGTAGCCTCACCGTCCCTCTCAGGCTATGCAGGGGAGGTCCTGGACAGTGGCATGGACTGCCCGGAGCCCTGGGCAACAGAGGTCAAGTGCCCAGCCCGGCCCTTGAGCTTCCACGGCACCGGGACCCCACAGCCCTGCCTAGCCCAGCCGCACTTCCCCGAGGGGGCGCCCAGCTATGTTTATCTCCTCAAGGCTGCTGCTGCTGTGCTTGCTCTCCTTGGCTAGGTTGCTCATGGTGGGTGCAGGAGGGCAAAGTATGTGGGTCAGAAGGAGGCCCACTCCCTCTCCATGTGAGGAGACCTGGCTTTGTAACCAAAGCATCCTCAGCAATAGGATGGGAGACCACCAGGGGATGGAGAAAGGGCAACAGTGGCCCTAAAAGCCTTACTAGACTCGGGGTGCACCAGATGTTTGATAAGCCCGAACCTGGTAGGAAAACTGGGGGCCCGCCTGAGAGATTAAAGAACCTAATTGCTTTCTACAAATTAGATGGGTCAGTTACAGGGGGCATCCCAGCCACCTTCGCCTCTGAACCCCTAGGTATGACCATGGGAGGCTACTCCAAGACTCTAAGCTTTATAGTGACACCAATGGAACCTGCGGGTGGATTGGAGGAAGGGATTTTTGAAATTCCCAAAGAGGAAGCAACCCCCAAGCAAAACTAGCTACAAAGCGGGAAAGGATCCCTGTAGAGAAGAAGTGGCTGCTTCAGACTTCCGGTCCTGCGCGGTAGCGACTAGTTGCAGGCTTGCGGACCGCCGCACCCCCGCGGCTAATTTTCATCTTGCCTGGAGACCCTAATGGATCCAAGCCGACCCGAGAGGCAGTGAAGAAAGAAGGGTGCCCCTGCGACTCTGGAATGACGGTGGTCGTTCCTTTCATCTTGGGGAAAGTCTTCTAATCCGACAGGAGAAAGGCTGTATTTCACCGATCAGCCCAAGCTACTTGCAACCGAAGTCCAAAAGAACTAACCAGCACAACAGTAAACAGCATGCTTGAAACTGGGTGAGAAATCTGATTTTCCCTTTTCTATTCTACACTTAACTTCCTGGAAAAGATCCCCAAGAAGCAAAATACCTCTGAAAGTGAAGGAGGGGGACTTCCACCCCACCCTTATATTAACGGAAGCAGCGAATTAAAATTTCCATGGAGGATCAAAATATATGGTAGTGAAATAAATTTATAAACTTGAAAGCTAAAATTTAACTTTGGACAAGTTTAAAATGGTTGAATGGTTAAGACTCTCACTTTAAAGACCATTGTTCATATTGAAAACTAAATAGATGCTGACATCTAGTGGTGGACAAAGATTATGACAGTGATGATCTCCATAGAGAACTTGCCAAAACCTGGAAAAAGCTAATCTGTGCTTATGACTTTCAAAGCTTTAACAACAAAGAACAGCTGTGACAAAAAAAGACAACAATCTGGGCTGCAGACAAAGAGAGAATTATAAACTTTAGGGAAAAAAATCTTTTTTGAACTTTTTGGATTACAAATATCTATTTAACTGGGACTCTAAAGCTATTTGCAGATAAGAAGGAAAACTTCAACTTTTGGCCATCATGGATCAGAGACATATAGATAGAACACACCAAGAAAACATAAATACTTCTCAGAAGGAGATATATAGTATACTGCAATTAATTCAAACAATGAGTTCAAATCACAAAAAAATCCAAAATAAATTTGAAAATATAAATCAATTTCTAAGTTAACTCTACAACAACAAAAAAATTCCAGGAAACAACAACAGAGAAGGAGCAGACAAAACAAATAAGTGGACCTAAAATTGAAAATAGAGACTCAAAGATTCTATTCTATTCTATTCTATTCTATTCTATTCTATTCTATTCTATTCTATTCTAATTCTAATTCTAATTCTAATTCTAATTCTATTCTATTCTCCCTGATATTACAGTTGTGTTGTAAGTGCCACATACATGCATGCATATACACACAATTCATGATAGTCTGTAGGCAGAATTGAGCCCAACAAGCTTCTCATCTGGCTCTCCTTACTATGAGGCACCGTTTTAAAGCTTCAGGAATGTCAGAAATCTGTGCTTTTCTTTTCCTTCCCATTCTGGTACAAAGGGGAACGAAGCTGAGAATCCATCATTTCAACACATTTTGGTGCTTTAAGTCTAAACCTAGGTCACCTTTGATTCCCAGCAGAAAAAGCAAGCATCTTCTACACTTACTTTACCCCAAGAACCTACTAGTTGGGAGCTCTTTATACAGTCTCTGTCCAGTATATTGCCCTCTCCTCATCAATTTTGGAGGAAAAAAATGAGAGGCAAGTAATTGTAGAGAATAAGGAAGATGACTTTGATTGCAACATGCAGGAAACTTTATCTAGGCAAAAGGGGATGAAACTTTTTTTTAAGGCTAAAATAACAAGATAACATTCAGAAATGATTCCGGCAGATAAGTCTCTATTCACTTAAGCATAATGAGGAAGAGGAAGTACAGCACAACCAGATTTGCATGATTCTGTTAATATAGCTAATCATAATAAGAATAGTTTTCGCATTTATATGGAGTTGATTTCCTGGTATGGTCTAACTTGTGGGACTCTCAGTAAGTCCGTTCCACAATATTTCCAGGGTACCTTGAAGCAGCAACTTCCTAGAAGCTGCACACTGATAGCCATGAAGCTTTTGGAATCCTTCCTATAAATTTTATTTCCACGACCATTTCTAGTAAAAATGTCTAGTTTTTAATCTGCTATTTTTACATTTAATCATAATGACTGGAAATATGAGTGATAAAAAATGAAAAAGGTGAAAAACTGCCGGTTTTTAACCCTTTGACGAAAGAAGTTGCAATCAGATCTGCTTTTCTGTGATGCTCTTTACTGGACAAAATGGCTGAAGCAACAACTGCTAACTTAACAGATTGGTATCGTGCTTCCCAACAAGAAAACCCATTGCCACTGACCAATTTACCTGTATCATTCTCTGTTCTTATAGGCTGCAGCGTTGGGGGTGGTTTCACCCCAGAACCAATGCATTCCAAGAGAGTGAAGAGCGTGTACCAGTCTTCTCCAGAGTGAATATTGGCCGCATTAGTCTTGAGAAGCTCATGGAGGCCATATGCAATCTGATGACTTGCCTTGTTTAACATGCTGGGTTTCATCATGAGCAGGATTCGCAAGGAGAGCAACACCTATTCAGAGAAAAATCATGGTAACTACAAGAAAGTCAAATTATACCTATACCAGATTCATGTTTGCTATCTACTAGCAGCACACTCAAATCTGTATTATGGAAGTGTAACTAGATTTGTAATTGTGTCTTAATAATAATAATAATAATAGTAAAGTTGGAAGGGACCTTGGAAGTCATTTAGTCCAACCCCCTGCTCATGCAGGAAACCCTATACCATTTCGGATAAATGGCTGTCCAGTCTCTTCTTAAAAACCTCCAGTGTTGGAGCATTCACCGCTTCTGGAGGCAGGTTGTTCCACTGGTTAATTGTTCTAACTGTCAGGAAGTTTCTCCTTAGTTCTAGGTTGCTTCTCTCCTTGCTTAGTTTCCATCCGTTGCTTCTCGTCCTGCCTTCAGGCGCCTTGGAGAATAGCTTGACTCCCTCTTCTTTGTGGCAGCCCCTGAGATATTGGAACTCTGCTGTCATGTCCCCCCTCGTCCTTCTCTTCGTTAAACTAGACATACCCAATTCCAGCAACCGTTCCTTATATGCTTTAGCCTCCAGTTGCCTGGTGAAAAATCACAAAGCTTTTTTCTCCTGAATTTATTCCTATTTTAAATCTTTTGAAACATGGAGAAAGTAAAAAGAGGGAAGTAGTAATAAATAACAGATCTGTAATAAAATATATTGGGTTATTTATTAGAGGCCACCCATCTCACACACAAGAGTCATATTTAAAAATAATATTATGCGTAAAGAGTTTCTAAATGCAAAGTTTTAAATCTTTCACTGCCATTTCAGAATGGAAAAGAGAGTATGAAATACAAAATTTACGCTTAAATGAAATAAATTTTAAGTGGGGATATCAGAAATGAAGGAATCACCTCGGACATTTGCTGCACTGCTATGATATTGCAAATGATATCTCCTTTTCTGACCTTTGTGTGGGGTAATCTATTGTCTGATCAACCTTGTGGCTTCATCTCAAAAAACGTCCATAACATCAAACAAATGTGGAAAGAATCTGGTTACTTTTTCCCATAGGAAACATTAATAATTGGCAACCTTGAGTCTCTAATAAACCTCATCTTGTATAACCATTTGACAAACTATTTTAAAATACACATGTTCTAAATCTAGTGTCAAACTACTAACGAATCTGTTACTTCCCATACTCCATAAAAAGCGTTTCCATGTACGTTCCAGTATTTCTTATTGTCCCACACACGTGTTCCAAACTTTGACTTGTTACATATACAAAACTTAGTGTTCCTTTGACCAGGACGTGTGCAAACAATCTTTTCTAGTGAACCAAAGCATAGAGTGTGCACGTTTGTTCCACAGAAGGCTGGGTCATGCAAGCTTTTAAAGCAGGGGTGTCAAACTCAATTTCATTGAGGGCCGCATCAGCATTGCGGTTGCCCTCGGGGGGTGGGTGGGTGGGTGTGGCCTACTGGGTGGGCGTGGATGGAGTGGGTGTGGCCTACTGGGTGGGCATGGCCAGCCCTACATCGTTTGCGTCAAGGGTGCCTGTGGGGGCCTGGGCAGGAGTGGGACAGATCTGAGGGTCTCTGGCAGAAGGGGGTGGGACCGGGGCAAGCGCCAAGGCATGGTCCATTTCTTCATTCCTCACAAAGGGTGACACCTCCCCAGCATGCACCCAGGGGGCGGGGCCGACACAGCAGGGGCTGGTTCCTCGCTGTTTCTAGATGGCCTTGTGAAGCTAAGACTGAATGCGTTTCAGCATGGATGGCCACCACAAAATTGTACATTGGCTCCCGGCTGGCCTGGGCCAGGGCCAAGGCAGCGGGGGCCGTTCCCTCACTGATTCCAGGATGGCTTCGCGGGCCACATGAAACCACTTCGTGGGCCGCATCCGGCCCCCGGGCCTTGTGTTTGACATGTCTGTTTTAAAATATTGCAGAAAATGTGTGACTTGGTCGTAGGTTTGAATGTAAAAGATTGTGACAGCTATTTGGACTGTGCAATTTGTAGAGAGGCTAAATCAAAAGTCTACCCTATTAGAAAAAAGAAGTTATAGAAAATCTGAAAGAATGTTTCAGTTAGTGCATGCTGATTTAATTGGCCCTCTATCCCCATCATCTGCACACTATGGGGTGCGAGGGCGGAGTCTTGTCCCTGTTGCCCGGCTATGTCCTTGGCTGCACTGCTCCATGCGGGCCGCACCTGGGGGCAACTCTCCTCCAGGGGGGCTGCTGGTGAGGAGGGGGCCATGGGGAAGGCAGGGCTGGGGCGATGGCGCACATGCCCACAGAGAGGGCTCTGAGTGCCACCTCTGGCATGTGTGCCATAGGTTCGCCACCACTGGCTTAGAGGAATGTTTGAAGAGTGAGACTCCAGTGAAGCAGGAGCATTTTATTCCAAGGAGATCTGAGAGAGCAAAGAAAGGTGTTCCTTCGGAAAGATTCACCATCGATGAGGTAAAAGTATGTAACATGTATTGATATCCACTACAATCTGCTATTTGCCTGTATCAGTTTTTCTCTATGTGTGGAGTTAAGCTGAATCATGTACCTTGCTCAGAAGCTGAAACTTAAGTACACATGTCCTCTAAAAAGTCAGCCTATTTTGCAAAAGAGAGAGAGAGAGAGAGATGATAATGGGACAGAATTCCTTAACGTGCCTCTGTCACAAGCAAAGCAAGTAGAGGGAGTACCCATTCAATGGCAAATTCAGCACTTTCTAAATCATTAGTGACTCATCCATAAACTCCAGAAACTGTGAATATGTCCAATAGATGTCCTGAAAGAACATGGAAAAATTCTGGAAACACTTTTCTTGCAATGGTCAAAACAAAAAACAAAACAAAAGGAAAGGAAAGGTAGGAATTCCACCCTTAACATACGCTCTGACGATACTTTTATTATTGGAACATTCCCAGTAATTTACTGTGTAGGTACGGAGCCCATGAGCGTGAACCATGACCATAAAGATAACAAAGGAACTAACACTACAGAGACACCATGAAATCAGTCCCTTCAGAAAACTAAACTCATCACACAGAGCTGTATTTACCTGGGCACTTATTTCTTCTCTGCGCAGAAGTCGGATGGCCAGTCTCAACAGTCCCACTACTGCTCTTTCCACTAGACAACAGTATTCCATAGCATTAACACATAAATGGTAAAGATGATCTCGCATTGCCTGCCAAACGAAAGTCACACGATCCCTATAGAGAAAGGGAAAGAAAAAGAGTATTGTGGGGGAAAGATAAACCAAAACACAGGCTTTATTCTAGGCAGTTGATAGTTGGAATGTGTGATCAATGTATGTGAATAGTTTACTAAGAGCCAATTTGGTTAAGATGCTGCCCTTAATTAGGAGACTGTAATTTCTGGTCTTCCATTAAAGCATGGAAGCCAGCTGGGTGATTTTGGGACAGCCACTCTTAGCCCAACTCAGAAGTTGCTGCTGCAGAAGAAATAGGAGGGAGCATTATGTACACTGCCTTGAGTTGTTCAAAATAAAGGCAAGTTACAAATCAAATAAATAATTTAGCCAAAATTAGGGCCAACTAATCAATGCCAGCCAGCAACAATTCTGCTGACAGAAAAATAGATATTTGTCTCATCCATCCAATGTTAACATCAAACTGGTATTGTCACCAAAGAAGTGTCAGTCTGTACCTCAGGGTTAGTGGATGATTTGGTATTGCAGCTGAAAATAAGATGTTTGGTTCAAATTTTAATCATAGCATTCTGAATGCCAGAAGATAATGATTAAAATCACTAGCTATATTCAATGCCAGGTTGTTGTA